AATACGAATATGAAGTGCGGAACAAGTTAGATTTTGGAACTTAGAAGAATGGAAAGCTGAACTTGTAGTTCAGCTAGACCAGTAGGAATGCAAGCCTTGGAAAGGAGCGGAGCTGGATGAGCGTGGCAGAGTAGATCGTGAAGAATGGAAGATTTCCTTATTGATGAGAGGGTTTAAGGAAATAGGAAATATACTCTAAGGTTAAGAAAAAAGAAGTTTAGGGTAGGATTTTTGCTTTCATAGTCGCATTGTCTACTAGGTATAAGTACGCGTGTTGAAGCATTGTATGTGCTTAACACAACTACTGGAGAGCACTTAGCATAAGGGTGATAGATTCGTATATCAGCGTCTGTATCAACGGTTAAGAGGTTTTCTAAGGGAGTTCTGACATCAAGTACAGATCGAAAAACAAGGGAAGCTAGGACGAATCAAGGTGTGTCTTGAGTCTGTCTTAAATCGAGTTAGAAAACTTGTATGGTTTGATTAACAGATTTACTAGCAATAAAGTTTTAAGTAAAGAAAACTATGTGTTAAGTTGTGTCGTTGTTCTTGATATTCCGATTCTTGCATTTACAATTGGTATCGGAGCTCAGAGTCATACCATCAGAAGTTCAGCCTCAAATAAAGACTTTCTAACCGTCTGATCCAGCTTAAATGTGGATTTATTCAAGAGGAGACAACCAGCTTTCCATAACACTTTACATCATGAAGATTCAACAGTGCAATCAAAAGATACATGAGAACAAGTTGACAAATTCACCAGTCCCAGAAGACTCTCACCCGCGGCAAACAAGCATTTCACATGCCCCGGAAGACTTTCACCCCCGATAGACCCATGATGAGCCACAAGGCCCAACATCAAAGCCCATTTCACCATTCCTCTTCAGAGAGACCCTAAATGAGACCTGGAAGACCTTTGGACCTATAAATTCATTTCTTAGCAGCCCTAAACGGGTGTGTGCTCCTGTAATGAGATTTTGAGCCACCAAACTTTGTTTTTCTAGGGTTAGGCGATGGAGAAGGGAATTCTTCCCTGGATCCATTGTTCTTTCTTGTTTCTATCTAATTAACTTTTTGTTTCATCTTTTGCATTCTTTCATATCTTTTATCATTCCTTGATCATGTAGATCTGTCCCAGAGAGTCAAGTTGTTGAAGAGTCATCGATACTCATATATGTTCGATTAGGATTTCTAAGTTTCTAGACCATATTTTCGAGATCATCTCTTCTAAGTTGTTCATATTGCATGAGAGTGGATTCATGACCTATTCTCTGAGCCTAGGATCGATTAGAGCCACGAGAGTGCTGTATCAGATCATCAATACCTAGCTTCAGAAGAACATAGTCGCTACAGGAGTCGAGAGCTACCTGTAGAGAAGATGTGAGAAAACGAATTCAATAGTTAATCCATGATCTTATTTCTAGCATGAGAGCGAGAGTTAATTGTCAGATCTGAGTGATTAGTTCATTAAGATGGCGAGAGTTGGTTAATCATACATATGTCTATTCGAGTTCCATGCAGATCCTAGAAATAGATGAAGATAAATCGTCCGGAGGCTAATTGGAAATGCTTTGACATCGATTAGAGTTAACCGGAGAAGTCTAAATCGCCCACTATGAGTCTAGAGTGTATAGTTTGAGTCGACACCCATGAGATATTCTTTTAACAATTCATTTTGCATTGCATCTTATTTCCTTTGAATATTAGATTACGTTTAGTTTAGGATTCTTAACCAAAAATCCCAAATTCCCATGAGTTTATGACTTTGCTTACTTTTCCAGTTTGTTGTTTATTGCATATTAGACATACTCCCTGTGGATCAACATCCTAAGTCGTACAACGTAAATCTATGCACTTCCAGACACTAGGGTTTATAAATTTAAAACTTTTTGAGGACCAATGTGCTTGTAAAAACACAACCCTATGCCTGCATGGCATCAGAGAGCAAAAAATCCCAAATTCCCATGAGTTTATGACTTTGCTTACTTTTCCAGTTTGTTGTTTATTGCAGATTAGACATTCTCCCTATGGATCAACACCCTAACTCCTACAACGTAAATCTGTGCACTTCCAGACACTAGGGTTTTATAAATTTCAAACTTTTTGAGGACCAATGGGCTTGTAAAAACACAACCCTAGGCCCGCATGGCATCAGAGAGCAAGAAATACGGTGAATCGGATCCTCCTGAGGCGCAAGAACCGGTGAATCATTCAATGAGTTCTGAAATGGAAGCAAAAATCCAGGAGGAAGAAGCAGCTTCCGACACCAAATTGTCGTCGACCTCAATTTCTGTCAAGGATAAGGCCGCAAAAGCTGTTCGGAAGAGGAAGACATTGGGAGCTCTGGGGCTACCAGTACAATCGAAGAAAGCCTGACTTATTCTCTTCCGGCACCACAAGCGACCGCTAAGCCAACCCCTGAACCGACTTCGCGGAAGAGAACTAAGAAGACACGATCTTGCAAGGAACAGTCATCTCCGCTTCAAACAAGGTATGGCCACTTTGCAACACGACAGCTTTAGTGTGACAAAAGTGTCGATGTAGGTGAGAAGGACGAATGGGGCTACATCAAGGAGATCAAAGATAGCGGCTTGGAGTCGACAGTAGTTGGAATCACTCCGTATGTGCCGCAAGTGATTCAGGAGTTCTATGCCGGTCTTCCTGGTGAATAACCTTCTGATCCAGATCAAGAGATACGAGTCAAGCTGAAGGGATTCGAGTACTACTTTTCATCTGCATTGATCAATCGGGTGCTCAATCTTGATCCATTCTCCAAGGCAGAGGCACAAGAAGAGGAAGTTGCTGAAGCAGTATCCCTGTCGAAAGGTGGAAGCGGCTGGAGTGGGCTGAGTACGAGGAATCTGCCTCCTATGTTTACTGCCTTGATCGTCATCGCTGCATACAACTGGATCCCCTCCACCAACAAGAACCACATCTCATAAGAACGTGCCAGACTGCTGTACAAACTGAGTCATAGCGTGAGGGTGGATTTCAGAAGGCTGGCCTTCAAGCAGATTCTTCTGATGAGCAAGATCATCAAAAAGGACACTCGCTGGTTGGTGTTTCCGTGTCTGATTCAGAAGATTCTAAATTTGCAACACGAACCTCATCTGAGTAGAGGAGAGACTCACATTGTACCATCTCAGTACAAGAAAGAGTCTCGAAGCGGTGAAGAATTCAAAAAAAGAGGCTGCAGCCGGGAAGAAGGGCAAGCAGAGGGTTCAGGCACCAAGATCTCCTTATCCTATTCCGGAATAGTCTCGGAAGCAACCAACGTCTTCACCAAGTGTGCCATTTCAGTCTTACCGTGCACCACCTCATGATGCATCCTTTGAGCCATCAGCCTCTGCTCACCGGAGGTTTCAGGATGTTCCTCTGGGAGTCATTCTGGTACCATTGGCACCTACAAGTTCCAATGAGGTAACCATGGCTCTTCGTGACGTGAGTCGGGTGATGGCACAGCTGCATGGAGTGGTCAACATGGTGATCAACACGTTTGCAAGTAAGTTTTCAGACTCAAACTTGTGAATTTTTTGTTTTTTCCTAATGTGTTTTTTAACTTCTGTGCTCACAAGCAGGAGGAGAAGATATGTGGGAGGAATTTCCATGCAATGATGCGGGTGCTTGATTTGTGGGGGAGCCTTTGTAATAGTCTAGTTGTTGGTTTAAATTAGGCTAAGTTTCTGGGGGAGTAAGGAGAGTGTTGATGTAGTTTGTTGATTTGTTTCTGTTTTCTCTTTAACTCTGTTCGCATCTTTTGGTTCAAGACTTTGTTCGTTTGACTTTTTAGTTATGAAATGTTATTCAGTTGCTCTGGATGTTTTGGTACGGTGCATGTTTTCGTGTTTGCTTTGTTGAGTCTATGAACAGGTGCTTGTGAGACACACAAAGCTAAAAAGGAGGAGATTGAAGATGTAGCTGCGCTTGAAGCAGTTGCTGTGTCAGCAAAACTGAAGCACAAAGTAATACGAGCATGGAGTGCGGAACAAGTTAGCATTTGGAATTCAGAAGAATGTGAAGCTGGACTTGTAGCTAAGCTGGACCAGTAGGAATGCAAGCCTTAGAAAGGAGCGGAGCTGGATGAGCGTGGCAGAGTAGATCGTGAAGAATGGAAGATTTCCTTATACAGGAGAAGGTTTAAGGAAATAGGAAATATACATTAAGGCCAAGAAAAAGGAAGCTTAGGGTAGGGTTTTGGCGTATATAGCCGCATTTTCTACTAGGTATAAGTAAGCGTGTTGAAGCATTATATGTGCTTAACACAACTACCTGAGAGCACTTAGCATAAGAGTAAGAGATTCGTGTATCAGAGTCTGCATCAAGGGTTAAGGGCTTTTCTAGGGAAGTTCTGAGATCAAGTACAGATCGAAGAGGGAAGCTAGGATGACAGATCATGGTGTGTCCTGAGTCTGTCTTAAATCGGGTTAGAAAACTTGTATGATTTGATTAACAGATTTACTAACAATAAAGTTTCAAGTAAAGAAAACTCTCTCTTAAGTTGTGTCGTTGTTATTGATATTCCAACTCTTGCATTTACATTATATGGTCTAACGGATACTTCTTTTCAAAACTTCATCATAAATAATAAACATTAAATGAATCATTCAAAACAGAAACAAAAACAAAATGTAACAACCAATTGTAAAACTAAAATTTTATAGAATAATGCTAAATTTGTTCATAGTATATCTTTTTCAACAATTATTCTTCTAACAATAAGACAATATTATTAAAAAATAGTTCTCAAAATATTTTCATCCATCCATTTATTTTAGGTAAATTTATTTCATTTATTTATAACCGATAATTGAAACTAAAACAAAAGGTGAATTTGAACTTACTAGAAATAGGCAAAAGTAATAAGAACTGTTCTCTCTGCTCCTTGTAATATTATTCCCCCTTGTCTTTGATTCTCATTATCACTTTCTTTCTAGAAAATATTATCTCCTGAAACCAATTTTTATATTTGAATAAAAGCAATTTTTTTATATATTTTGAAGATGGCAGAGACGGATTTATCGTTTGGAAGGTCATTACTGAGTTTGCGTCGGGACCAGGTCCACTTGATGGACCCAACAGCCATCCCCGAGCCTATGAGCATGGAGGTGGAGTTAGATTCTTTTCAACGACAGTTGCTGAGAAATTTATTGACCTCAATGCCTCGGCAAATGACAATGAACTCCTCTCACTTATATGGATAGGAAAACTTGTGGATTCTTTTCTTTGTTGCCAAGAAGAATTTCGAGTTATTATATTCAATCACAAGTCTCAGCTTCTCAAACAGCCGATGGACCGTTTGATAGAAGATTATTTTGAGAGGAGCATCAAGGGTCTTGATGTATGCAATGCTATACGCGATGGGATCGAGAAAATTCGACAGTGGCTAAAATTGATTGAAATCATAATGTCCGCTTTGGACATGGACCAAAGACAACATCTTGGAGAAGGAGAAATCCACCGTGCAAAGAAAGCTTTGGTTGATTTGGCTATTGCAATGTTAGGCGAAAAAGACTCTTCCAACAACTTGGCCCACCGCCATCGTTCTTTTACACGCAATAAGGACAACAATCAACAGATTGGCTATTTCAGGTCACTTTCATGGAGTGTTTCTCGGTCGTGGTCAGCAACGAGGCAATTACAAGGGATTGGAAATAACTTCGCAACACCTCGAGCCAGCGATGTCTTGGCAACTAATGGACTAGCTCTCACGGTTTACACAATGACGTCAATATTGCTATTTGTTATGTGGGTTCTTGTCGCGGCTATACCTTGCCAAGACCGTGGTTTACAAGTTAATTTTTATTTTCCTAGGCATTTTCAATGGGCAGTACCAGTCATGTCCCTGCACGATAAAATCATGGAGGAATCAAAGAAAAGAGACCAAAAAAATGCTTGTGGACTTCTTAGAGAGATTGATCAAATTGAGAGAAGTTCCAGGATGTTAAGTGAATTGATTGATTCTGAAAATTTGTTATTAATAGATGAGAAAGGGTTAGAGATGAAGGAAAGAATGAAAGAGTTGATGCATGTAGTTGAAGATGTGAAAGAGGGTTTGAAACCATTTGAAAGGAAAGTGAGAGATATTTTCCACCGGATTGTTCGTAGCCGCACTGAAGTTCTTGATTCGCTTGGAAAAGTACATATTCGAGAATAGAAAAAAAAATATATATATGTTTTTATCGGGAAGTTTCAGATTCTGTTATGAGCAAAATATTGGGCAAAGGAAGATGTTATATTTTATATTTTTGTATTTATCAATAGAAATGTGTACGACACTTAAAATGATATATAAAAATGCCAATATTTATGGTCTGTGATGATGTTGATGTTACTTGGAAACAGTTTACATGCGATCACCAAAACTCTCGTTACAGAATCATATATATGAAAGGAGGTGAGTTCTCTCCATCCTTCTGCCACATCAGTAATATCAATGAATTTGGAAATGACATATGTCTACACCCATTAAAATTAATGATTTTCAATATTAAAGAATATGAAAAGTCTATTTATTTATATATTAATATGGCAAAACCAAATTATTTTCATTATCTCTCATAAAATTGTATTTGGCTCAGATATATCTTCAGTTACAACGTAAAAAATGAATGGATTCATTAGAGCAAAAGAGAGACATATTATTTGACAATGATAGTTGCGGAGGCGTAGAACGCAACATGACAAGTTTTAAAGAGCTTCAGATGAATGAGAAGGGAGAGAAGTATAATTCATTAGTGGTGACAACAAAGACAAATATTAAGAATACAAGTAAATATTTGTCTGTACTGTGTTGTGGTGTTCTTTTTTATATAGTTGATGCGTGTTTGTAAACGGGGTTTGTTGTTTTCGTTTTACTAAGCTTCAGATTTTAAATTTATAACCCCTAAATGTCTCTAAGTGCACAGATGTGCGCTGTAGTACTTAGAGTATCGATCCACAGAGACTTAGTTGTTTCAGTACGAATTCACAGCAACGCTTAAATCAGATTAGAACAAAAAGGGTTTTGGTTTTGGTTTTGGGTTTTTGGTTGTCACTAAATCTAAACTAGAAAAGCTAAACAAGTAAAAGCAATTGAAAATGAAAGCAAATAAAAGCAAGTAAAAATCGATTAAACAAAAGCGAATGAAGGCAACTAAATGGCGATTAAACTAGGAGATTGAAAGCAAAGAACAAGCAAATGAAAAGCAAACTAAATTGAAGGTTGTAAACAATTAAAGACAAACGTTGGGGCTCAAGGGGTTTTCGCAGGGGTTCATAGTCTATGCTAGGTCGATTTTAAACAAGTGATAAAGGCAATCAACTACATATGTTCTAGAACTCGAGGCATGTAAGTATGAATAGCCTACTTTCGCAGCACTAAACAACTATCTCTCGCAACCCTAATCAGTAGGTTTCCACTCTGATTCTGGAAGGGAGAAGATGCAATAGCAGAATAAGACTCATCAACATTCACAACTCAACTACAGGTAGGTTTCCACGCCAATAGAAGAATTGCTCGTTTCACCCTAGTTCAGACAATCAATGAAAGCTTTTGCAACATATCATATCAGATCGGCTTCTAAGTGGCCAGCAAAAAATCACGCAGTAAGATTAAAGGCAAACGAAGAACATCTAGAAGATTATAAATCCTAAATCTATTGATTCATAAGAAAAGACACATGAAATTCCCTTTGAAAAGTCCCTTTAAACCCAACTGGGTAACTACTCAAACATATTGTAAACAATCATCACAGAGTATTGAAAGTGCATGAAATTAAAGAAAAGAAAGAAGAAGAACGAAGAACGGAAGCGACGACGGAGGCGCGATGATGCTCTCCTCGGCGGCGGCTCCTCCTTCAAGCGGCGGCTTCTCTAGGGTTTTTGAAGCACCCACAAGAATTCTCTCTCTATTTTTATCTTATGTCTTCTTCACACCTTTAGGAATGACCTAAAGGGGGTATTAATAGCTTCTGAGGTGGTTGTGGACACTTAGGGCTTCAAAATTAACGAAAGGAATTGATCTGGGCTTTAATTAAGTCGTCGAGAAAGTGAACGACCAAGTTCCACGGTTGTGGTGGCTCTACCCGCGGGAAAATGGGTGTTTGCCGCGGTCCCGGCACTTGCTCTCTTCCGGAACTGCATTTTTTGTCATTCTTGCATCGGGAGTATCTGAAGATCTAACCGTTGGATTGTCTCCAAACCAAGTGCATTAGAAAGCTGGTTGGATCCTCTATGTTGTCTAAAATTGTGGGGGTGATCGGCCGGTGAGAAAGTATTCATCGCTCGTCATACTTCTGACGGTCTGCATTTATCCAAAATTGCTCATTTGTTCCAAATTGCATATCTTTTGCCCAAGTTTCCTGTAAAGTCTTTTGAAACTCTAAAACATTGAAAACACTTTAAAAACATTGAAAACAGAGTTAAAACACCTGCATAAGATACAATTATGATCCGTAAAAGTGATCAAAATACGGTGTTATCAACTCCCCCAGACTTACCTTTTTGTTTGTCCTCAAACAAACTTAAGTCAGGAAAGAAATTTTTGAAAAATTGCAGGAACTAAATAATATCTCAGTGACCGTCCTTCTAAACCATAACTTATCGTGAAACATCTATTTGGATCTAGTATAGAAAATTCTCACCAAAATACAAGCTAACTAGTCCGTTAATCCGTCATGCGAAAATCTACACACTTAGATCTAACTTCCAGTCAACTAGCTCTCTACATTCATTAAGTATAGTAGTGAATTCTCATCAAAGACATTATTCAGGGTAGACGGCGTTTGGCATTAAGGCTATTTAAGTGGTGGAGCTTAGGTGTTTAGGGTTACCTGAAGAATATGGAGGATGCAAGATATTATGCAAAACCGCAAGAGAGAGAAGGACCTGTTGATGAACGCAGATTTTGAGTCACTTCTCCTTTGCCAAATGTTGCTGCATAATCTTCCTCCTTTGTTGTAAACAGCTGTTCCCCCAGACTTAGATCATTTCCGGGAATCATAAAGATAATCTCCAAAACTCCATTAAATCAAATCAAGTTTGCCTCAAGTATAAAATTCAATCCTCCTAGACTCTCTAAGGTTTTAAATTTCCTCTCCCTTCATTTTTTTTTTTTTTTTTTAGAGAGGAAATAACCTTTTATAAAGAGAGAGTGTAAGGGACGAAATTGTACCAAGATTTTGAAGTTTTTCCAAGGAAAACAGAATTATCTCCTTTTGTTGAATCATTCTAATGAAATCGCAGGTCTCCGTCTTCAGTGACTGAAAACCGCGTTGATCCTCTTTCTCTCCGACGTTTTTGCACATATCTGCATATAGGACAATGAAAAACAAGAGTGCATGTGGTTCGAAAGAGGTTAGGTTCGGTGGGGAACTAGCTAAAGATAAACTAGCCATTCAGGATCAACAAAGAGTGGTAAAAGGATAAAGGAGTCCTGAATGTATGATTCGTTTCCCTGATTTAACGCTTTATTGAGAGAATTAAGTCAACATTAAGTCCAGATAAAATGAGCTAGTATATCCTGTCAGAAAGAACCTCCATGAATAGAAGTCATCTGGTGGGATTTCGTAATGCAAGTACTTAGCTACCGCCTAGTCTAGCCCTAAATCACAAAAAGAGCAAAAAACGAGGAAATAGCGTAGAAGCACACTGGTCTAATTCATCATAGTAATGTTTATTGTGTTCCTGGTTTGAAAACTTTTTGAAAAACATTTTTGAAAAAGATTTTTGAAAATTTTTATGAAAAACTTTTTGAAAAATTTTATGTGTCCAAAACAAACTCAAAACAAATCAAATTTCATTAGTAACGGATGAACATCCTCCCCCAGACTTATTTCACACTGTCCTCAGTGTGATAAATCTTGGAAAGAATGGTAAAGAAAATAGAAATGTTGAAATGTTTAAGTGAACTTATCGTGCTGGAGAGTGCTGCTCGTCTTTTTTATTTATTCTTCCTTATTGAAAACCTGAAATTAAATGAAACAGAAACAAAGCAATGGAAATAGAAAAATAAAGGTCAAAGGGAAATAGATAAAATACCAAGTGGGTTGCCTCCCACTAAGCGCTTGTTTCAAGTCGTAAGCTTGACATTGTTGCTCGATTAGACTTAATCGGGGTCGTGACACTCCTTGGTCTCATCATTGGCCAATGATGGATCAATCAAAAACATCACTTCTCTCTTGTCTTCTCTTTCTTCAGCCAGATATGGCTTTACACGCTGTCCATTCACTGTAAATGAGTTTCCGGTTCTGTCCCACAGGACAATGGCTCCGTATGGCTTGACTTCCTTTATCGTGAAGGGTCCTGACCATCTTGAACGTAATTTTCCTGGAAAAATCTTAAGACGAGAATTGAAAAGAAGTACCTTATCGTTAGGAGCAAAAGTTCTATGAATAATCTTCTTATCATGATATGCTTTAGTCTTCTCCTTGTAGATCTTCGAGTTTTCGTAAGCATTGTGTCGGATTTCTTCTAACTCGTGAAGTTGAAGTAGTCTTCTTTCTCCAGCTGTTTTCAGATTCATGTTCATCTCCTTGATAGCCCATTGCGCCTTATACTCGAGTTCTACTGGAAGGTGGCATGCTTTTCCTTAAACTAGGTTGAATGGTGTTGTTCCTAATGTTGTCTTGAATGCTGTTCGGTATGCCCATAATGAGTCGTCAAGCTTGGTAGACCAATCCTTGCGATGAACTGCAGTTGTTTTCTGCAAAATCGACTTGATTTCTCTGTTTGAGATCTCCACTTGACCACTGGTGTGGGGATGGTATGGAGAAGCAACTTTATGTGTAACTCCATTCTTTCTTAGAAGATTCTTGAAAACTCTGTTGATGAAGTGCGATCCTCCGTCGCTTATCACAATTCTAGGAACTCCAAAACGCGGGTATATAACAGATTTAAACAGCTTCATGACAACTTTTGCATCATTGGTGGGACTAGCGACTGCTTCAACCCACTTAGAGACGTAGTCTACTGCTACTAAGATGTATTGGTTTCCAAAAGAAGTAGGAAAGGGTCCCATAAAATCTATTCCCCAGACATCGAAAATTTCGACTTCGAGAATAAAATTTTGAGGCATCTCATTCCTTTTGCTTATGTTGCCCATCCTTAGGCATTTATCGCATCGCGATATATAAGCTTGAGTATCTTTGAACAAAGTAGGCCACCAGAAACCTGCTT